TATCTACAGACAATTCTCTACAAAACTACACTAGAATCAATTAATAGTAATATACATATGAAAAACAAGAAAATTTTTAAAAAATGCTTCTCAAGCCAAAAATGTTAATTAATTTTGAACTTAATTAATTAATAAGTCAGTCAATATTTGACAAATTTTTTCCTATTGCACAGTTATACTATTGAAGGTACTCTCTACAAACTGACAAAGTTTCATGGTATGTTAGCGTGAGGACACCTCCCCCCTTGAAAGAACAAGTGCTCAATATTTTATAAAGGGCTTTCATCGGAATTCATACACTTTTGATTTCTAAAAGGATATCTTAAATTGAATAAAACCTAATGATCTTGACTACATAGCTTTTTTTTCAAGAATGAATTCAAAGTTCATCCAAATCAGCTCATACGTATATATACTAGAAAAAAGTTTTTGTGCGGATCAATAGCAGAAGTCAAAAGTTCTGAAAACTCCTGCTAATATCTAAGAGTCAGTAATACCTAAGTTCTCAAGCGAGAGCTCATAGGTTGCTCGTAAGCAGTAGAAATCCTAGTCACTAGGTAAAGAATGTATCGAGAAGCTATATAATATCTCTATACTTCCTAACACACTGAAAAAATGATTTTGAGTATGTCGATTTGTAGATTAGCTGCAGTAATATATATCTAGAAAATTTCATGAATGAAAACATTATTGTTCAAAAATGGTAATATATACAACGTATGAGTACTGTATCGGTTGTTGTCATCCTTTACCTGAGGATGTCTCTATTGTGATTTCACTATCTCAATAAGGTAACGGTTTTAGAAAGAAACATTTTTGACGTTTTTACATCTCATTTGACTTTATACATGTTCAAAGTTTCATAGAAACTCGTGACATTATTTGAGCACATGATCTGTATTCGGTCGCTTCTTCCGTACAATAACTCCTAAGAACATTAGTCACTGAATGTGCCTGAGTTATGCCTACTACCCAAGCAGACAAAAATTTTCAAAAACGCGTTTAAACGCACAAAAAAGAGCTTAAAATCCAAAAAAAAGTGAACGTGTTTGGCTCACAATCGCGGTTCCCGACTGTCAGCGAAAAACAACCACTATTTGGTATTTTTGTGCGTTTAAACGCGTTTTCAGCAAAAAAATGCTTGTAAACGCGTACAAGCGAATAAAAAGCCATCAAAAGTAGTGGTCTTTTTCATTTTCGTGAACTGTGATCGTAATTATGATTGTGATTTACGAGTATGAAAAAGATAACAACTTTTTATGATCGTTTTCTGCGTTGACAAGCGTTATTTTGCTGAAAACGTGTTTAAACGCACAAAAACGCCAAATAGTGGTTGTTTTTCGCTGACAATCGGGAATCGCGATTGTGAGCTAAACACGTCCACTTTTTTTGGATTTTAAGCCCTTTTTTGTGCGTTTAAACGCGTTTTTGAAAATGTTTGTCTGCTTGGGTAGGTCACAGTTTGCGAGATGAACTGGACGAAGCTATACATTGCGTTCACATAACAACAGAGACAACATTGATAGACGAAATGAAACATTTAGTCTAAAATAAATCAAAAAATGAGAAAATCTTATATGCAACACTTGACTTTACTGTGCGATTACGCTTGATTCAAAAACATTGAGGAAACTATATTTGTTAAATAGAATATACCTGTTTGTGTAGAATCTCAAGCGCTTTTTTGATGAAGAGAAGCGTTTCAATTGCGTGACGAATATAGAAGAAATATTGACAAGACGAGCAGTCTAATATTTTCTGGACAACTCCTTGTCTTGAAAATCAAGCATACCTACGTGATGAATAATGTTGAAATATATTAATTTTGTTTCAATCATGTTTGTGAGAAGTTGCCTAGCATATTGATCGTTGACAAAACTGACTAATTATGTCCAATTTATTAGTGTTTATATGCGTTAATCGACCGTAACATTTTCATAAAATAGGCAATATGTTTGATATTGACGTGCTTGTCATTTTGCATCTTATATTTTTTCATCATATTCTTCCACTATGCTTTTACCTTCCTTTGCGTTTCGTATATTCATAATGAAAAAATGTAAATTAATATTTCTACATACATATGCAATGCACATGAAGGAGCACATGTAGATATGAATGCAACTGTAAACGACGTAGAATAAAAACAACGAAAATTCATTCTTCAAAATAGTGGAGTCTTTTGACAATGAATACAAGTTTTTCAAAAGACATACTTTTGATAACAACTATGCAAGGGTTTTCAGAAAACTAGCCTTGAGAACTATTCGGAATCTATACAGATTGACTCCAATCTTCATAGATGCAGTAATAAAAATTTTTATAATTTTCGATCACAATTTTATTTATTTATTTTTCTTTGCCGTATTTAAACGGTAAACAAATATATACTATATCGTTTTGAACAAAAGCATCTAAGCTATCATTCGAGAAGAATTGGAATCGATATGCATTAATCCTTTAAAGGTGCTGCGTCGATGAAAAACTTGAAAAAGTTCGATCAAATTCTTTTTAACTTTTCTCTCTCAGAATTATCAATAACAGCTGTCACTCACTTATTTATTCACTATATATCACTTTTGTAATTCTTTTCTTATTATACAGTGTTTAAGTAGAAAAATTTTATCTTCAGGTGCATATCGGAGGCAACAGCACCATGATGTCGTAGCCAAACAAGAGAGACAGAAATTTCATAACTGAATATAAAACTTTAAAATTAGATTATGTTTAACCTATTGAAAATGTATAGTCCATGATTGAAATGAAATTAATGAAGGAGGATTATCGAGATTTAAATCAGATCAAAAAGAGCATCAAGAAAAATGGGGAAAACGTTGATATCAATTTGTGTCGTAAAATAGTGCTAAATATCCCATTTTAAATGCATTTCTGTGAGATCCGCTAAAATCCGATAAGATTCTTTTTTCTCGTTTAGATTCGTGCCAACAGCGAGATCATTCGGTAAGTTTTTTTTAACCTAGAAAAAATGATTTCTCTTTCAAATTCATTTCAAAGTTGAGATCAAGTGATAAGTTGAATTTTTGTTGAAAAAAAACAAATTTTTTCTCATTTAGATTCATCTGAGCAGCGTGATCAATTGGTAAGATGAATTTTTATAGTAAAAAAAGTCTATTGTTTTCTTTTAAACTCGTCTCACGAGAGAGATTAGCCGGTAAACTATATTTTGTTTTGCAAAAGATTGATTAGTTTTCTTTTTTTACCATTTTGTAGTATCAATAGACTCGACCGCAAGTTTAATGTATCTATTTAATTTTTTTTATTTATTTTAGGTCATATAAAAAGATAAACTCAAGCAACAGTAAGCATAAACTAGTTATATAATTTAATTTTCATCGTTTTAGATTATTCCGTATATCAACACAACGAGAAGTTAGTTTTATTTATAATTATAATTAGTTTTGTAACATTGATTTCAAATTATTTTTGTCGAATATTGCCGATCAAGAGTTAGTATTTTCTATTGATTGCATCGATGATTTTAGATCGTCAGATGGGTTCAATATCGGGCAAAAATAGTTGTACATGAGCTCTAGACCATAAAAATACAGTCATTTACGACAGTGAACATACGCATCTGGACTCTATATTTCTTGATCTGAGAGTTATCGTCCTATACGAGTCGAAAAGCATATCTGGCATGTTTATGAGAATGCAGCGTAATCTAGCTGGTTTGATTCTTGGGTTCTTCATCCTGGAATATCAAGAAGACTGGTAGCAGTCATCAAAAAACTGAAGTTAAAGAATTCGTAAAGGTGACTAGGGATGTTTTCATTGCTCTTATTATCAATTTTAATACTAAACTAGATAAAACTGTCGTTTTGTGTGTTTAAAATAAATAATAACGGATGTGGCAGGTTAAACGGTCGCGTTTCGTATTGCAATTTTGAATTCCTTCAGATTTTGTATTAACAAAAAACGAAATATACCACAATGTGCAACGTGAAAAGCTCTACAATTCACATAACACCACTTATTCTACAGCTACACTTTGTGCTTTTCAAAGGAAGAAAATTTTGTATGACTAGGATGTGGATATCGGGGTCCTTGTGGATGGGTTAAGAGCACACCCAGACCCTATAATACATACAGCTCAAGAAAATTTCACCCCCATATTTGAATATTCAATTTCTTAAATATTTATATTCTCATAGACCCAAAAAACTGACTGAAACACCGATAACTCGACAAAAGAAGCGGAAAAATAAAAAAAAAATACAGATTTTCTTACTACTCAGTGGGATCAATGAAGCGGTAGGAATTCAAAGCAAAAATCTATTAAGCAGCTGGAAAGCTTCTCTCGTTAGCTAACGAAAGAAATGAGTCAATGGGAATTCTTGTTGAATAGCCGATGTTTGACTGCGAAGAAAACAAGCAATATTCGATTCTAAGAAATGTTTTAGCCTGACGAAAATTAAAATGTAGGCTTAATGATAAAATATGATAATTGTCGTACTGATATATTATGAAAATTACTTTGTCACTGTAAATGTCATAGTCAAGTCGTTTGATGGAATTTACATCAAATATACAATCTCTGAAAGAAACATATAAATAATACCAACCAATGAAACTTTGTATTATAGCTTGAATTTGATTCTACCACAAACATTAATAAACACTCATATTACCTTGAAATTTTTCTTTTTCTGAAGTTTAAATTGATTCTTTCTATAAAAGATAAAAAAAGGATGCCTTTCGGTTGTTCTTCTGGTTGATATTCGTTGTTTGTTGATAAAAGGTTAATAATATCCAACAAAAGTCTGCTCATAGTTAATATACATTATAACTAAGCAAAAGTTCAAAACACTGGCTTCAATGACTTGGTTCTTATAAAAAAGAAGTGTAGCTTTCGCTGATAATATCATAATTTCCTGTGTGGTTATGTTGCAATTGATTACATGATTAATTCAGAAATTAGGATCAATTTAAACGAAACTGTCAATCAGTAAGTACAATCACCAACTTTTTTAAACACATGAATCGAGAAACGCATGTCAATTCAAATCAAATAGTTAACTAGTAACCAAGCCGAACGAGAATATAAACAAAAGGCTTCGAACCAACAGGCAAGACGAACTATCACAAAAAAAGAAGAATGACCTCATATGAAAGCAAGGTCAACCTATCAGAGCATGTACAGAGCTAAACCAACGTTATTGAGAATAAATATATAAACATGTCCGTCCTGCACAGCACAAATTCCCTCTAAAATATCAGGACACATGAAGTATATAGAGAAGACAGTTCTTTCGCATATACAAGACACATTGAGCTAATTCTGCTTGGTTGTTATTTTTCTAAAATTAGACATTCCAAGTTTCAATGGATGATCGATTTTAGATAATCTAGCATCTGTCTTTCCTAGACGCTTCAGTTGATCTACAAGCCACTAGTTCTACAAATGATTGCGTGACGAACTCTATTCATCATCATTCTTCATGTTCGTGCTTAAGAGCATCTGCCATGCACATCTACATATTTACGTCCATCAATTATCTACGTCTCGTACATGTATATTAGACCAGTTAAACTATCGAGAACAAACTATCGAAGTTGTTTAAATAGCCAGCAGTGCATAGGTGTTCGTAGTAATAACGTAACTGAGAAAAAATTAATAAATAACGTAGTGAGACAAGGTGAAAAACGGAGGTAAAATAAGTAAAATATCTTTTTATACTCATAAACTGCAAAGTTTCTCAAAGAACAGCTCAACAAAAAAAGCTATATTTACAATGTCTAAAAGACTTAATACATAACTTAAAATAATTTCATTGAATATTTTAAGTTTTAATTATATTATTAACTTTTCAAACATTACATGTCGATCAAATGGAGGATGTAGGTGTGACTGTAGGTCATTGTGCATGTAGATGTAGAGAACATCAACGATCCACATCCGCATCCATATTCACACCCAAAGAGCCTTCAGATTTTCGAATCATGACCAATGAGTAACGGTGAATCAATGTCGGACATTTTTCGAAAAGACTCCTACAATCAGTTGATGTAATTTTTTAGTTTGCATGTAGCTTCTCAAACTATCAAACCTTGTATTGGGAAATAAATATTTTTGTTAATCACAAACAAAATATTCTTTCAATGTTTTCTTTGACCGCCAGTGTTTCATTATTATTCGCAAACAAAATTGACAGTTCCAGGAAGTGATACCTCTAGAAATTGTAGATTTTTTGAGCATTCACTGAAATTGTATGAAAGTTTCTCCGGTACTACGAAGGCGTCTCCATTTGTCATCTTTTCAGAGGCATGACCGGTGACATGCAGTGTGAGTTCACCAGCAAGGACAAATATAAAGACGAACTCAGCATTATGTTGCAGAACTTGAGACTTCAGATCACCGCTGTTTCGAACAATACGAACACCGGCTAGATCTGCAGTGGCCAAGCCGATTCCAGTATCTTGGAATTCGAAGCCAGATAAGCGCCATGGATGCCATTGAGCCGTTTCATCGGCTGCAAGATATTTGACGAAGCGCTGTCCTTTATAATCACGATCGAGCCGCTGCTCTGTATTCGGTAGTTGCATGTAATGATCAATATAAGTACTATGTGTCGCTGGGCTCGCGACTTCAATCACTTCAAGACCAGCCGAGCTTTCTAACACTCGATGGCGAATTAGAGGAGGTTGCAAAACGCAGTCTCCTGCTTGAAGAATGAATGGAGGCCCTTGATCCTCGTAGACGAGTCGTACCCAACCTCGATAAACATAGATCATCTGAAATCGGATTTCATGATAATGTACGTAGTCAGCTACTGGACCTCCAGTCGGAATTTGAATATGCGATGCAATAAAGCGTCCACCTAGGCGACCGGGAATCAAATCACGATAATTCATTCCTGCACGTCCTCTAACCCATGTTGCATTGGTAGCCATTTTACTTACAACAAATGCTTGTTCGATGGGCGGTATCATCAACTCGGTTGTCTCTTTCACTATTTCAATTTTGGTACCATTTGGTGCAAACATTTCTGTGATGGCATTCTGAAAAAGTTCAGAATCATTTTTCAAAACTAAACGAATTGTGCTAGTTGCTTGCGTCATTTCGCTAATATTGCGTTCCAGTCGTAAATTGAGTCCATATCCAGAAAGTAGAGCAATTGCTGGATCATCGGCTGGAGAAATGAGATCAAGTTGAAAGCCCAATCGATTGGTAAAGAATGTAAGTGTCTCATCAAATGGTGAGCATGGCAAGATGACTTGTGCCGATCGAATCAATTCTTGCATAGTTATAGTTCCAAATGCACGAGTTTCTATCAGTTCAATCTTGTTAACATGTTCTAAATAACAATTCAATGAAAATTTTCAATCAATCAAAATAACACTTCTTTTGACATGAACATTTCGATCAAGGGAGATCTATCAGACTTTTCTTGCGGACTTATTTTAAAAAGAGAGAAGAAAATCAATGTGACAACATAGTATAAGAAAAGTTAGTATGTGGATTCATTCTTCTAAGTAGTTTCGAGTGGTCTGACTCAAACACGTGTCTTGTTTATCGAGATAAGCGCTTTCGATTTTCTCGACTACTACGCAATGCTTCTAGAGAGCACAGTGATAAGAAAAAAAGATGTTGACAAGATATGATATTGTTGTTGCTGTAAGCAAAAACAGTGAAGTGGGGACACATGCATTGGCAACAAGCATGAGAGTGTGGTTGTGATTCCGTCATTTGTTTGTCTTTTATGATGCTTGTGACTGTTCAAGAGAAAGCTATATAGAACGTTGCAACATTACATATCGATCAAAATTACTTGCTCTTTATGATAACTACTGTTAGAACGGTACGTCTAACAAAGTTTTCGGATATCTGAAAATGAAGATGCTCGACTTTTCTTTTTCATCTAGTCATCATAATTTATTTACGAACGCTGTTTATATCCTGCATTAAATATAGCATATCATTAGCTATCCAAATAGCTATTTGGGTTTGAGCTAGATGCTTCAAATTATAGAAAAAAGTTAAAATACGTTGTTCTTAAATTTTTTTGGTACCATCTTAGTTCAATCATTTATGATAAGTAAACTAGTCTGTTCATATATGTCATACATACAAGATGCAGAATCTGTAGATTGCCTTTAGGAAAATTTATATAGAGGCAATAAAGATTTAAGTACTATGAAACGAGTTTACTTTCTTTCGTTCTCAACGTACACATAGAAAGTTCGTGTTTTCTGTTACGATGACATCCACAACAAAAAGTTACAAAATATTCATTCCAATTAATATCATCTATTTTCTCACACATTTAGATTATTTTTTTTACAAATATTTCCACAAAAAGATAAAATTTGTGGATTTTTTCTTCTTGTTTGAAAATAATTAAAATGAAAATATCAAGAAACGTTAATCGGCGCTGCCCTATAGCAATTGATGTTATATATTACAGCTGCGACATTAATTGATAATAGTTAATATAGCGGAGAGACAACTAAAAAAATTGATTACTATTGAAATCTTTGTATTGTTTATTTTATTAAATGATATGGATATTTCAGCAGATTAATGTGAGAAACCTTACATGCATCAAATACACAACATTAAGATCAAAACAATTTCTCTTTCATCATCAAAGTGAACTCTTGATTTGAAGTGTCTTAGGGAACAATAGGTGATGCTTAGATTAATAAAGCATATCATTGTGTGAATAATTAAAAGGCGAATCTATTGAAAAAAAAATGAAGTCTGAAACAAACAAATATTAAAATAAATATAATTAAAATATAACAAGGTTCATCCCAGGCAAGGATTAAAATGGTAAAACGGTATGAAATGCCTTCAAATTGACACAATTACAACAATGCAAAACGGCCACAAATAATGCCAAAAAATCGTTTGTGTTATAGGCAGGTATTATCATATCTTAAAGTATTTTTGGCATCATTTGTGACCATTTTGTATCGTTATAATTATATCAGTTTGCAGACAATTTAATGCCATTTTACCTTTTCTGTCCCATATACGTAGTTGACTCTCTGTGTCCGCTTCATAGCGAGTGGTTGGGTTTAGAATTTGAGGAATACACTTAATATTTCCCAAACAAAACAAAAACAACATCTTGAGTACAACGATTAACACAAAATGAAGAACAATATATGATTATGTATATTGTGTAAATTTTGTTTAATCTTTTATACTCTCGCTAATCAAGAAGGACTAGTCATTTATGTTATCTATACTCGTTTAATAAACTTCCAATTAGATATACGTGATTGTAATGACAAAAAATAGAAAACACAATGCTAAAATAATATTTCACTCATTTTTATTTTTATGCAATTATCAGATTGTTTCTCTAATATAAAAAAACTTATTGTTAATTTTTTCAATCTAGAATAAACTAGTTGCATATTCACATCAACCCATTGGACTATTTCTTATTTCATTGACAAGATTTCCTTTTGATGATAATAGATATAGACCTGCCCGACGTCGATTAACATCTGGCATAAACAGTTTCTTTAATACATTCACTATTACTTACATTTTTGTTCTTCAAGTTTTACACTGTCATCGCATTTACATCGTATTTGATGTGTATGAATCATTATTTCTTATGATAAATATAGCATCATCTTCTGATGATGAGATAATATAATCTATTAAAATCAAATAATGTTTCGATTGTATAGAAAAGATTCTTTCTCTTCTCTAAAATACATTCTTCATAAATAATTGTTTTATTTTCTGACTTATGTGCATGGCAAACTATTCTTTTAATAATCGTCAATATCTTTGTTCTTTGAAAATAGTCAATAACAACTAATAGTACTTTAATTCTTATAATCATTTATTTTTAGCATTCACTAAGCGATTCTTATCGTCTTTCATATTTCGATCATGTCAAAATGACATTCACAAGTTTTATTGTCAATTTGAAAGATCGTCTCAAACCCGTCAAGATAACACTTTGTTCATTTGTGTAAAAAGAAACGCTTTTTTCTCATAAAGAAAACTGCTTCGACGATAAAAAAACGAGATCAAAGAAGCAATTTCACATTGATAACAATTTCAAACCATGCTGATTGAACTAAGTGAATAACTACAGCACCGTTTCAGCCTTAGAGCAGTTGAGCAAATGTGCATGTCTTGAACTATGTCCATGGTTGTGTGTCATCAGAGGAAGTAAAAAGCAGACAAATATGTCAATTAGAATCTTACTACTGTTGTCACAGTGAGAGGAAGCACTGTACATCATAGTCATAAATTCTGCTGAAGCATCAAGTTATACGATGTTTCCGTCGTTCTGTTAAGATTCAATATAATTCCGATTACAAGCAAAACTTTGGCAGCGCATTAAGTCAACTCTCTTTGAACGTGTTGCATTCATCAATCATAACACTATTTATTATTTTGTGATGAGTAACAATGGTCTGATAGCCAGCGTACTTCTTTTAATATTTGCTTCTTTGACTATTTTATTTGTCATCGTCTTTCTCATTGTGGCACTGATTATTCATTATCGAAAAGGACTAGATTTTTCTATTTTACTCGCATGTTATACTTATTTGGCTCTAGTACTCTATACGAACAACGCTTTAGTCTCGATCATTTATAGTTTTTCATGGAATCGAAGTTCTGGTATTGTCACACCAGATCGTCTGTGTTCCTTTCGTGCCTATTTAACTTATTCTGCTGGTGCATCTCTTTATCATTCCTATGCTATTCAAGCTCTGCAACGTTATTGTCAAACGAAATGTATACAAGCGTTTAACACACGATCTCAGTGTCTCTCGCTGATTGTTGGACAATGAATAGTAAGCTTGACAATCGCCTTACCTCTTCTACTAACCAGACAACTCGATCAGCTTGTATCGAACTTTATTTGTCTGTTACCGATTACAAATCTGCTACTTGAATTGTACATTGCTTTCATCATCTACGGAAGCTCGATGATCATCATTAGTGTTTTTCTCGTCGGCTAGTCGTTCGTATCCGTCAGGCGAGTGTAACATCGGGTGATTAAATGAATAAACATCGTGATTTGATCGTCATTCGTCGTATTATTTTTCTACTTGTTATGATGTTAGTTTTTTGAATACCATTCTTATTACTTTTAATTATTAGTATAATTGATCTAGATAGTGTACCAACTTACTATCCTCATGTCACTTTTGTGTTCAGCACTTTTGCATTGCTTGTAGAAATTATTACTTTAATGTTACTCACTCAACCTATCAAGCAAACGATTGTACAGATAGTGACTGGATATACTATTCAGCTCAATCGTGTACGTCCAATAATTTATGGGCGAATCTGTAACGTTCTTTTTACTTCAATCATTCATATCAAACGTAATCTCCTCTTTTTTGCTTTTTTTGTGTAAACATTTTCTTCATCACTTGATTTGTTTTGTTGAATTCGACAAATGAGAAATATGCAAGAACCATGGAGAAAAAAACGGTTGGTGACCTAGTGAGTAACTTTGTTTAAAAGAAAATAGCTATGCTCAAATGTCTTAACTTGCTTTTTGTTCGATGTTCATCAAACTGGTTTTGAAGGATTTGTCTTAATTTAATCTTCCCGAATTCGACCCATGCTAAAAAAATGGATTCCAAACTCGATCTATCCATAATTGAGTTCTTAGTTGCCAACTAATTAAGATAGACGAAATGTGTAACAGCGATAGTTTATAGTTTTCTTTTTAAATGTTGAAAAGTAAAAAAGAATAAAGAAAAAGAACAGTCACAACATACCAGATTTTATTTCCTCAGTCAAGAAGTTTTTATCGTACGATTGGATCTGATGGTCAACTGTATTTTGTCGACATACTCTCCTGATATGCTTGGAATAAATCCATCAGTTTTTCATCAACTTTATCGTAAAGTTTCTTTTGCTTTTTAACGTGCACTTGACTCTCTTCCGTTTATGATTCTGTTATGGGTGTGGCTGTCATTAAAGAGAAGATCCATATTCATTTTAGGCAATACCAACTTTAGGAAGAGTGAAACAGCAGACTCCAGCCCTTTGGAGTTCCATGGAGTCCTTCGTAATCTCATGAAATCTTCCTTAACTTGGCAAAATTTCATCATAAAATCAAAAATTTGCGTATCTTTATTTTTTTCCATTAATCATTATATCAGATAGAATGCATATTAACTTCAGTTTTTAGGAGAGCGCCCACTATTTTTTATTATCTGCGTAAGGCACACTCACTGATTCTACAACTGTAAACTAAACAAAATGCTGCTTCTTGAAAAAGAAAGGCAAAATACAGTATCACGTA